CTTAGTCCAATGGTATGGACTACTGACTCTAAATCTGAAGGTTGTCGGTTCAAATCCAGGGTGGAATTTTAGATTTAAAAATTTATGTCTTTTTGGGTAAATTTAAATTTTATAGTTAATTTCGTAACCACAAAAAGTGTGAAATTATGCTTAGTCCAATGGTATGGACTGCTGACTCTAAATCTGAAGGTTGCGAGTTCAAATCCAGGTTGGAAATTTTAGATTTTATTTATTTTTGGGTAAATTGAAACTTCATAGTTAATTTCGTAACATTTAAAAATTGTGAAATTACACTTAGTCCAATGGTATGGACTACTGACTCGAAATCTGAAGGTTGTGGGTTCAATTCCAGGGTGGAAATTTTAGATTTTAAAATTTTATTACTTTTTTGGGTAAATTAAAACATTATAGTTAATTTTGTTACCTTTAAAAATTGTGAAATTACACTTAGTCCAATGGTATGGATTACTGACTCGAAATCTGAAGGTTGTGGGTTCAATTCCAGGCTGGGAATTTTAGATTTTAAAATTTTATTACTTTTTTGGGTAAATTAAAACATTATAGTTAATTTCGTAACCTTTAAAAAGTGTGAAATTAGGCTTAGTCCAATGGTATGGACTACTGACTCGAAATCTGAAGGTTGCGGTTCAATTCCAGGGGGGGGGGAATTTTAGATTTTAAAATTTAGTTCTTTTGGGGTAAATTTAAACTTGATAGTTAATTTTGTAACCACTAAAAAGTGTGAAATTATGCTTAGTCCAATGGTACGGACGGCTGACTTGAATCTGAAGGTTGTGGGTTCAAATCCAGGGGTGGAGTTTTGGTTTTTGAAATTTTATGTCTTTTGGTTTAATTTAACTTCATAGTTAATTTCGTAACCACTAAAAAGAGTGAAATTATGCTTAGTCCAATGGTATGGACTGCTGACTGAAATCTGAAGGTTGTGGGTTCAATTCCAGGGTGGGAATTTTAGATTTTAAAATTTTTTATTTTTTTGGTAAATTGAAACAATATAGTTTATTTCGTAACCGCTAAAAAGTGTGAAATATGCTTAGTCCAATGGTATGGACTACTAACTCTAAATCTGAAGGTTGTTGGTTCAAATCCAGGGTGGAAATTTTAGATTTTAAAATTTTATGTCTTTTTGGGTAAATTTAAACTTCATAGTTAATTTCGTAACCACTAAAAAGTGTGAAATTATGCGCAGTCCAATGGTATGGACTGCCGACTCTAAATCTGAAGGTTGCGGGTTCAAATCCAGGTTGGAATTTTAGATTTTAGATTTTATATATTTTTGGGTAAATTGAAACTTCATAGTTAATTTCGAAATATTTAAAAATTGTGAAATTACACTTAGTCCAATGGGATGGACTTCTGACTCAAAATCTGAAGGTTGCGGGTTCAATTCCAGGGGGGGAATTTTAGATTTTAAAATTTTATTTCTTTTTGGGTAAATTTAAACTTGATAGTTAATTTCGTAACCACTTAAAAGTGTGAAATTATGCTAAGTCCAATGGTATGGATTGCTGACTTCGAAATCTGAAGGTTGTGGGTTCAAATCCAGGGTGGGAATTTTAGATTTTAAAATTTATTACTTTTTGGGTAAATTAAAACATTATAGTTAATTTCGTAACCTTTAAAAAGTGTAAAATTATGCTTAGTCCAATGGTACGGACTGCTGACTCAAAATCTGAAGGTTGTGGGTTGAAATCCAGGGTGGAAATTTTAGATTTTCAAATTTTATTACTTTTTGGGTAAATTAAAACTTCATAGTTAATTTCGTAACCTGTAAAAAGTGTGAAATTATGCTAAGTCCAATGGTATGGACTGCTGACTCGAAATCTGAAGGTTGTGGGTTCAAATCTAGGAAGGAATTAAAGATTTTAAAATTTTATTTCTTTTTGGGTAAATTGAAACTTTATAGTTAATTTTTTAACCAATAAAAACATTGGAATTATGCTAAGTACAATGGTACGGACTGCTGACTTTAAATTTTAAGGTTGTGGGTTCAAATCCAGGGTGGAAATTTTAGATTTTAAAATTTTATTTCTTTTGGGTAAATTGAAACTTGATAGTTAATTCCGTAACCACTAAAAAGCATGAAATTATGCTTAGTGCAGTGGTTCAGACTGCTGACTCTAAATCAAAAGGTTGCAGGTTCATTCCCACGCTGGGAATTTTAGATTTCAAAATTTTACTACTTTTTAGGTCAATTGAAACTCTACAGTTAATTTTGTAACCACAAAATAGTGTGAAGTTGTGCTTAATCAAGTAATACGGACTGATGACCCTAAATCTGAACTTCTGAAGGTTGCTGGTTCAAGTCGCACAGTTGGAGTTTTAGATTTTAAAATTTTATTAATTTTGAGGTCAATTGAAATTTATATTTTTTTCAAGTTTGAAACCAGTCCACACTTCTAGTCTAGCAAAAGCCAAAAAGTGAAAAAGCAAATACTTTTAGCTTGAAGCAAATAGTGAAAGCATTTGCTCTCATTTTTATTCATGCAAATAAAAGTTATGCTTAAAAATATGTAGTAAAAAAAAAGCAAATGCTAATTTTTATACATACGACCAAATGTTTCAATGTTAATCATAATTGCATCGTTTATGTTTCAGTAATAGATTTGAGGACCTACATGGATCTGTTTGGGCCTACAACGACGCCCATTCACTGAGCGGATTCGGGATTGCCCATCGAGAACTCGAAAAGATAGGAGAGACCAAGGCCAGTTGCTTTGGTAAAATTTTTCATTCAGGTAAGACAAACTTCCATGAAGACTCAACTCATTAGTTCAAGTCCCCCCCCCCAACTAAGCCCTAAGACAACACTGAGTGTACACTGTTTACAAAATATGTCCGGTTTTATTTAGTTAAGTGGCTTTCAGGCTGTTAGTTCTCCCACATTTTAATGGTGGTCCCTCATTTGGCATGCTGTTGGAAAGAACCAATTTTCAACTTTTGTTCTTGTGAAAATCCTGTTGCGTGACATCACAGCCTGTGTTGTGATGTGAATGAGTTCTACCTGATTGATAAACGTGACCCGACTCAGAGGTGGCATGTCTTGGTGACAGTCCCTCGCTTGTCAGTTGGTACAGAATGTCATTTGGTGACAAGTGAACGTCCTTATCCAAAGTCAAGGAGTCATGTCCCACAGTATCTCCGGGGTTATCCACGATGTTGCCGAGCGGCTCCGAATCCTCCTCAGACGTTATCGTCATGACGACTGTCTGCTCCATGTTCCCAAGGGTGCCCTCCGAGGACGACATCATGGACATGTGTGAGATGTCCTGTGATTGGTCAGCCAGGTCTGGTACCAAGACTGTAGATTCAGCTGCAGATTCCTCGGGGGCTGATTTGGATAATGCGCAGGCCTGAGTGTACAGCCGTAGCTGTGCTAGATGGTGGTGCAGCAGCTGGGTGTGCTGCTCAGATATGTGTTGCAGTAACTCTTGCAAAATGGACTGGTTCTCGCTGTCGTTGGTTAGACGTTTCAAACTGGACGTGTGAATCATGGACAGCTGCTGCTTGAGTGACGTGTTTGTGTTGGACAAATACTCAACCTGGAGAGCAAGAAGGATGGGCAGAGAAATTATTTGTTTACAGATGGAATTTTAATAGACCAATCCATTAGGCTCTGCCCCATGATGTGTAACCAATCACAACCATGACAATGCACCCCAAAGTCTGACATTTATGCACTTTATGATGTGTGCAGTTGGAGCATGAATGCTTAAGAAAGCACATGTGTTGTTGCCCAGTTATTTAGTGCAACTAGAGTATGAGTGAAACCACGAATCCTCTACACAAGGATAAACTACACATCTGAGCTTGTGTACAAAATGTGTGCAACGGTTTGTCTGCATTTATCATAAGCAGCGTCAGCGCATAGAACAACGTAGAACGTGTAGAAAATGTAGAGCAATGACAACAGTGCACACCATGATCGCCCACAGCCATGACAGCTGGCATCCTAACAGAAATCTGACCACTGAAAGAACGCAGTCGCATTAGTGTGCCTGCATTAGTTCTGATCAAGGTATGTCCCCCCTCCCACTTTTGAGAAGCGATTGACGTCCTTGGTACCTGTTGCATGCAGGGAACAAGATCCAAACTCATTCTTAGACCAAGACCAGATGGAATGCCCACTCACCTTTGTACGAAGCCTTTCTATAGTGCCTTTCATCCTGTGCTGTCTGGGCCAACGTGGTCTGCTCCTCCTCAAGAGTCTTCTCCAGACTTTCCTTCTCCTGCAGCAGCAGCGACAAGTTGTGCTCTGTGTAGCAAGTCTCGTCCTCCAAATCCTCTTGGCTTCCTACGTCTGGTATTTCAATAAGGACAACTGTTTACGAGAGGGAAAGGTTAAGCAATTATCCTGGATAATGATTCCTGTAATAATGAAAGTCGGTCATCAAAAGGTCACTCCAGGTGTGGGCTACACAAAGAGGGGAAATGATGGGAGGAGTTTATGGAGTAGAAAGGTCGACATATATGTTGCGCTTGAATGGGACAGATGATATGTAGCGGTAAAAACAGGATACAGGCAAGAAAGTCCCCAATGATGCAGTGTGTCAAGAACATGTAATTCCTTGTAACTGGGTGCAAGCAATCACTCACTTTTTCAAACCTTATTCCTAACAAATTCCAATATTTAATTAACTGTTGAAGTCAGCTTTCAAAATGTATTGCCACCCTGACTTATTATATTTTTTTTTTGCTTAAAACCTTCGAATCTTCCAAAATTCAATCAACTTAAAATAACACCAGTGGCACACTCTTTGCACCTTTAAATTCCAATTTGTAAAATCCACTGGCAATATTGGCTCTTACCCACCCCAACCCCCTTAAAAAAATGCTGAATTTTTGGTGGTTGTTTTATTTATTTTTTAAACAAGTGCAGGAGTGAAGACAACTATATTAAACATGCTGTTGTCTACCCATTCCCTTCTTTCATATGAATTCACGATATATCAATTGAAAACAAAGTTGGGGGGGGATGGGTTGGGGGGGGGGGATGGGTTGGGGGGGGGGGGGAAGAGTGCTTCCTTGTATCAAATGCCTCCCCCTTGGCTTTTTGGTCAGCTTCTTCTAATTATCCTTCACTGCTGGTGGCATTATCCACCTTAACCTCTGGGTAGATGCTGAAGGATTCTTGGAGGGTCAGGGTTAATATTCTTACCATCTTACCTTCCCCATTGGCAGTGCTCTGGCTCGGATCATTGATGCAGGCATACTGGTACTCGATTTGCGGCTGCTGCCCGTCAGTCTGCTCATAGCCCCGGGGATGATGTGTCCGTCTCCGATGGCTGCTGTGACTGGGGGACTATGAGGTGTGTTACCAGGCTGGCACTGTTGGGTGCTGGGTCAGTGTATGTAGTGAAGATCTAGTTGACATACTGGGTAAAATGGTGGTGTGAAGTGGTTGAGGATGATTCAATGAGACAAAACCTGCAGGGTTGCAAAAGATTCAATTTACACCGCAAATGTACAAGGAAAAATTAAAGTTCAAACTTAATTATTTTGAAAGACCCTAAGTGTTGGCATTTGATAAAATCCACCAAAATCCTTGTAAACCACCATACCTGCTCACAAGGTACATCAATTTCAACTGATTAAATTTATTTCATTGTTTTGGTTTTTTTTTTCATGCAGATTAAAGGGGACCATTACATTACAGCAACGGCACACTCAGTTGTCTTGAAACAGCACTGAAACTGCGAAGGTTAAAAAAATAAGTGCATTTTCAAACAGTTTGAGCCAAAAAGGTGTCTCTAATCATTCTCAAAAGAATAAATACTTGAGTCAAATGTTTGATTAGGAAATTTATTTCAGAGAGTCTTTAAAGCTATAAATAAGTCCAATGAGCTCCGGAATACAAGCATCAGGAATTTACAACATTTTCTGAGTGAACCATGGTAGTTTACCCACCTGTGCCAATGTTTAATAGCTTATCACTGTTGATGCAGTTTAAAGGGAATAAAAGCATGCTTGGAAGGTCTTAATCACTCTGTTTAAAACCGCTTGGAGTCGAAGGCGATGGTATTTATCAGGACCCAGACTCCAAGCGGTCTTAAACTTAAATACCGACCAAGCACATATTTATTCCCATTCATAAATACCTATTCAGTCAAAAAAATCCAAACCTTTTGGTAAAAAAACCTGATTTTGCTCAACAAGTTCACTTCATGTTTTTTTAACACCCCTCTTTAGCTAAATAATGGAGTGTCCAGCTCGCGAGTAAGATGTTAACATCTCCTTTTTTGGAGATAGGCACACGCGTCGCACATACTGCGCGATGTCATGCAAAACGCACCTGGGGCGTTGCGTTGTGAATTTAGGACTATAAAATACTGACTCACTGGTAGCATTGCGCATGCCTACGTGAGGACCAATAAAATGGAAAGAGGCACTGGATTTCATAGGAGCCAAAATTTCAAGTGAGACTGGAAAAGAGTTGAAGACCAGCCAGCCATGTCTTTATCATCCGTTTAAGACCAGCCACATAGCAGCTTCTCGACCAACAGGAATGGATAAACTGCCATAGGTATTTATGAATTGTGGTTTACATGTATTGTACGTGCAGTCTGATGTGCCCACTGGGATAAAATGAATTACATGATTGTAAAATTGACCATGACATACTGTACCCGAGTAATAACTATCTGTATTGTGGTCTCTGGATTACGGAAGTGTTGCTGGTAGTGTTTCATAGCCTTGTCCCTCCTGCTGAACCCGTTGTGACAGTGGTAGCAGTGCGAGTGGGCACCCTTGAAGTATTTCTGCTCGTGAATGATGCCGTGGACGATGCAGGATCTACATCACTGCAATATTTTAAGACCTGGGGAGGGATACAGTAGAGGATTGGTTTGGCAATTTTGACAAAAGCTGACAGCTATATGCACTTTGACAAAACATGAACTGTGGATCTTTTTATATGGTTCTCTTGCTGTAACAGGCACAAGTAAGCTATTGACCTGAGTTAGGACTCTTGTTCAGGCAGGCATTTGGGCATGGCCTGTGACAATTGAGTTCATCGAACACTGATATCTGCTAAGAATAACCAGCCCAGGTATCTGTCAATTTCATAAAACTCCCACAAATGCCACTACCTTGTCCTGCTGTCCACTACCTTCAACTTATCTTAATTCAACTCACAAACCTTTTCACAAACACGGACCACAAGTCATCTTGTAGCATGACTCATGAACAGAAAGTGAAAACATTGTCCTTAACCTAAAACTTATTTCTTGGGATCCAGTTACAAGTATGCAAGCACTTGGTCTTGTTCCCAAATGCAAACTCACCCCCAAAGTTGATGCCTTTATCCACGTGCTTGACCCTGTAGTGCGCCTTGAGGAGAATCTCATCAGTGAAGAGACTGTCCTGGGAGCAGAATGGACAGTGCAGATGCGGAGCCTTCATCAAGGAGTGGCTACACTCCCTGTCTGTGCATTGTATGGGTGTCCAGTCTGCCTCAGCGCCTTTCATTTGCACTGATTGATGCGCCTACAGTTGCAAAAAAAAATGAGACAACCGTCAAGTTTACATGTATGATGTAAAAAAAAAAATGTAAATGTATGAAACGGTAACACCAATTAAATCTTCACAGAAGTTTTCAAAGTGGAGAGGGGGAAACAAATTAGGCCAAATAAAAAAAAAAACATGTCTAGCGTCCCCGCCTGCTTCCTTTATGGAGGCTGCCTTCTTAGGTTTTTTTTTTTTAAACCATTTTTTTAAAAAAGTTTTCAATAGTGACATTAGTTTGGCCTCTAACATTGTATCTGTTGCATCATGGAGCTATAAACACATTTCAATAAAAAGCTGGTATGTAATTTGCTGAGTCCAATGGCGGCCATTTAAAAAAAAAAATGGCAGCCATCTTGATGAAAAATAGCCCGGTCGGGCGACCATTGGGGAGGGAAAAAAAAAGAAGGGTCTCCCGCTTCCTTTTTTTTCAAAAAGCAGGACCCTAAGCATATTCTTTTTGGAAAGATTCCCACATCTGGCCATCACTTGTCATCCTGTGCACAATGAGACTGGTCTGAAAATTTCTAAGTGTTTTCTCAGTAAATACCCCAATAAATTCCCTGCTAAATTTGACATACTTTCTGATGGCTGATAGGTCGCTGAAGGAAAACATTATTGATGGCCAGATATGGGAATCTTTCCAAAAAAGTCCTACTACTAGCAGTGGCACTAGCCATAGGGGTAATCCTTACTTTTAGAACACCTCTATTTTTTACGAGTTCTGTTCAAAACTGACTTTTGCAGATGTCTGTCCAGTACCAAAGTGACTTTTGCAGGCTAAAGCAGTCTTTAGAAGTCAAGAAGGTGTCATTGCCCATTGTTCAGATGTGCCAAGAAGTATCAGAATGTCAATTTTGAGTGTCATTTAGTCAACTGTTTTGGTGAGTCTTTCCCTTCCTATATAGGAACGGGGTCCTAAAAGTAAGGATTACCGCCATGGGGATAGCGAGCAGCAGCCATTCAATATTGTGAAGTGTCCGGAAACTGGGCGATTTTAGCTGGAGTTACCCAGCCCTGAGTTTTATCATTGGGCCTAGATGACAACCCAATGATAAAACTCAGGGCTGGGTAACTCCAGCTAGGGCGATTTCACATTTTGCTTTTTGTTTAAAAAAAGTCATACGAAGAGCAAGAGGTGTCCAACTTAAAAATATAAATAATTTTCCAGAATATCTTGGGTACCTACCACATGAATAGCCATATTCAACAACTCCTTTGCCTTGAATAATCACATAAATAAATTCTAGGGGGAAATGTCAAGGGGAAAAACTAACGTTCAGTGTAAACAGCGCCCTCCAGGAAAAAAAGAAAAATGTGGGTTTTAAAAGGGTTTTCCAAAATTCGATTTATTCCCATGCGGCTTGTTCTATTAAACCAATTTGAAGAAGAATAATTATGTAATTTCCACACAGCTACTCAGAAAGCGTGGGGTGTCAAATAAGAAGAGACAAATAGGTATTATTGGGCTTCCGTTACGGGAGACGCAGGCATCTCGTTAAAAAAAGAAGGATGCCAGTTCAATGATGAAGCTGCGAAGCTGCGAAGCTGCGAAGCTGCGACGAAGGCCGAGGTTTCGAAACAGCTTGCATGTGAGGGACACATGAGGGCAGCATTCAACAACATAAACACGCGACTCTTGACACATGCTTGAAAATCTGGCGCTACCCGTATTCTTCCGAGTGGCTGAAAACTTTCTTATTAATATTACGTCAGTATCAGTACTACAAGTTTGTTTTAATTAAAGGTAACATTAATTTGGTTGTTTTAATAGCTATTGGTGAAATCTGCATTATTTTATTTAGTGAAACGTCGCGCAGAAGTAGCCGTCATGGCCGCACTGAATACAGGTCAACTCGTACGCGAACCAACTCGTACGCGACCAACTCGTACGCGGGTCAAATCGTACGCGAACCGACTCGTACGCGGACCGACTCGTACGCGGACCGACTCGTACGCGGACCAACTCGTACGCGGACCAACTCGTACGCGTGAGTTTAGACGATTGGTTTAGCTCACATGGACAGATGAAATTAGGTTCGGTTACTCCTTGAACTATGAGGCTCCGCGTGAGCCTCATAGTTCTAGGAGTAAGGTTCGGTACGGTAGGTCGGCATAATTTTACCTTTTCTGAAAGATTGAGATTTTCAAATTAAATGTAGTTGATTTTTGAATCCGCCAGTGCTACTTACAGTAGAAGAATTCTGCGTGTTTTTTTTTTTTTACAAGTTCGCTTGATTGATTGGGAAGTTGTCTTCGCGATAACCAGTATGATTGGTTCCCGCCGCACCGCGCACTGTGTATAAAGAATGCATGATTGAATCGCTGTAACCTGTGTATGCCGCGGTACAATTGCTGGTTGGTTAGACAAGTAAAATGACAAGAAAACACCGATATTTGCGAGGTCTATTGTATAAAAAGGAGCTACTATAAAAAAAAAAAAGGAATATAGCATCACGCATGCTTATACAGTTGTACGGACAGTGTCCGCCAGTTTTTTGCTTGGGTCAGATAGTTTTTTAGTCCTAATTATTATATATCCAAATAATATTTTGTAAAAAAAGAAATGGGGAGTTGATTTTTATTTTTTGTTAAAATCAGAATTTTATATAATTTCACCGGAAATGCGAGGTTTCTTGGGTCAAATGCGATTTTCTTGGGTCAGAAAATTAATTTTTTGCTTGGGTCCGATAATTTTTTAGTCCTAATTATTATGTATCCAAATTATATTTTGTAAATTAAAACAATGGGGAGGTGAATTTCATTGATTTTTAAAAATTAGAATTTTATTTAATTTCACCGGAAATTCGAGGTTGCCCTGAAAATAT